CCCCCATCCCGCGTGCCCAGCCCACAGACCCCGGCCCGCGCCTCCCTCCGCTCTCCTGATGCCTTATTTTTAGGCGGCGCGGCCCATGGGCTATTTCGAGCTGCAGCTGAGCGCGCTGCGGAACGTGAACGGCGAGCTGCTGAGCGGCGCCTGCTGTGACGGCGACGGCCGAACGACGCGCGCGGGGGGCTGCGGCCACGACGAGTGCGACACGTACGTGCGCGTGTGCCTTAAGGAGTACCAGGCCAAGGTGACGCCCACGGGGCCCTGCAGCTACGGCCACGGTGCCACGCCCGTGCTGGGCGGCAACTCCTTCTACCTGCCGCCGGCGGGCGCTGCGGGGGATCGAGCGCGGGCACGGGTCCGGGCTAGCGGCGACCAGGACCCGGGCCTCGTCATCATCCCCTTTCAATTCGCCTGGCCGGTACGTGCGTCCCCATCCCTCGCGCTTTAACCCTACCCACTCCTGGCGCACCCCGGAGCCCACTCCTGCCCAGCGGCGATCCGCTGCGCTTTCCAGCACCTGCGGCCGGCACTGCCTGCGGGCCGCGCGCGCCCGGACGGGGCGGGGCCGGCAGGGGGCGCCGCGAGGCGGCCCGGCCCGGGGCGCGTGCTCTGTGGGCCTAGCCCGCGTCTGGCCACGTGTGCGCGCGGGGGTCCGCGAGGCCGACCCGGCGCGGGGTCGCGGCGAGGGCGGAGCAGCGTCGTGTGCCTGCGTTCCCCTGCGCGTGTCTGTCTGGGTTGGGAGGCGCCCCGGCACAGGCAGGCCGCAGAGGCATGTGCGCCGCGCGTGCTGGGGCTGGTCTGGGGCAGGCCCTGGCGGAGCAGCACCGGGCCCGCGGCCAGCCTGTGCCCGCCCCAAAGTTTCCTGGATGCCCAAGGGCAAGGGCGGAGCGCGGGACCTGGGCCAGGGTGGGGGGCCTAAATGCTTTAGTATTGGTGGAAGCCCCTGAGGCTGGCGAATAGGCCCCTAGGAGATAAAACAGGTCTCTGGTGCTGTGACCTTCTGTGGCATCTCCTGTTTGTGGGTTTTTCGGCTTTGTTGTTTCTTGGAGGCCAGTGGTGTCCCTTAGGGGGTGGCCAGTCAGGCAGGAGCCCCAGGCCTGGGCATGATGGTGGAAGTCAGGGTCCTGGTCAGTGGCAGACAAGTGCCCCTCCTTTTGGTGCCCCTGGATGGTGCTAAGGCCTGGGTAGATAGGCAGGGAGCTGGAAGTAGGCAGGCCCAGATGGCTGGCTGTTGTGTGAAGTAGGACTTGGCTGTAGTTTTCAGGGTCCTTTCCTACCTACTTGGTGGCTTGTGCTGCAGGCCTGGAGTTGAGTGAAAAGGAGGAACAGGTCAGGGCAGCTGGCTGGGCCTGGGGGAGTCCTGGAGGTGGGCACTGTGGCCTTGTAGGCCTGTGATAAGTGAGTAGTTGGAGCAGGATGCAGCAGTCCATCTTTCCTATTAAAGACTTTTGTCTAGTCCAGTTAGGAGTGTGTCCACCTGATACACTTGTCCTAAAAGAGATTGGTGTCCAGGTCCAGCCAAGAGTAGACCAGTAGGGTCTCCCTTATAGGAGACTAGGCTCCTGTCTAGGCCACACCTTGGGTGAGCCCAGCCAGGCAGCCTTGCTTGCTGCACCTCACTCCTTCCTGAGCTCCTGTCTGTAGAGGGAAGCTGGCTGCAGCCCCCTCTGGCCATGCCCTTTACCCTTGAGGACCCAGCTGGGTATCCTTTGGCCTCAGGGCCTCCGGGTAGGGATTGTGTCCCTGAGGTGGAAAAGGCAGTGGTGGGCGGTTAGGACAAGCCCAGCCCCTCGCCCCCACGGAGGTGCAGCAGGCAGGTCTGAGCAGGGCCTGCAGCCTGTCATCTGCACTTGGGTCTGAGCCAGCGAGGCTCCAAATCGCTACCTGAGGATGTGTTTTCTGCTCAAGTTGGCAGCAGTGGGTGTGGGGGCAGGGAGGCCTTGGAGGAATGTGGCGGGCCAACGCGTGTCCCTCGTAATTCTTTGCCCCACCAACCGGCCTGCTGGCCAGGTGTGGGATGGGCCAGGGCAGGCCCTGCCTTCCTTGGGGTCGAGCTCTGGGTCTCAGGGCCAGCTCACCTCCCTTCTTCTTGTGCACTGCTGACTCCCTGCTCCAGGAAGGGACAGGCAGCTTGTCCTGGGTGGAGGAGCTGAGGCTGGGGCAGTATTGGTACATTTGGGGGGCAACCTCAGTCTTCTCTCCTGTGTGGCCTGGCTGCCGGGCGTGGAACTGGCGCAGTGATGCCAGCACCCTGGTATTTCCGCTCTGTCGGCAGCAGCCCTGCGGCCACGCTGCCCTGGCTTGCTGCAAGTCCAGCTCCGTATCCATGAGCTGAGGCACATTTGGAACCCACACTTGGCCACAAATGTGGAAGGCAAGGACCTTCTGTGTCCAGGCTCCCTGGGGAATGAGGGTGGGGCCCTGGGTTCCCTGCTGCAGGGCTGCAAGTAGGGCTTTGTAGAAGAAGGATGAAGAGGTCTTGGCTCTGCTGTGGGCCTCCACCACCCCCTGGCCAATGACTGACCCTTCTGACCCCAGCCTCTGCTGGTAACCCAGGCTACCCTCTGTACCCTGACCTATTTTCAGGGTGCTGGGGTTAGTGACCCACGCGAGCATCATGGTAGGTGTTGGTCTCGGGCTCAGTTTCCTTGAACAGGTGGGCCCACTGTGTTCCTGCAGACACCCCTGCTGTCAGAGCCCTGACCAGCTGCAAAACCCCACCCTCCCACCCTCTAGTTCCTTCCCTGGGCTTTATGCTGATTGTTAGTGGGGGAGGGGAGGAGTTGGCGGGCAAGTCCAGCTGGACTGCCCAGCACCATGTTCCATGCACCCACTTGGCTGTGGAGAGGTGGAGCACCACCTGCGAGCAGGCTGCCTTGTATGGGGGCTGCCCTCCCAGGCCTCCCCCCAGTTGCCTCCTGAGCACCCTGGGCACCCTGTCTTGGCCCTGGTGCCTGGTCTCCAGCAGGACAGAGGCTGCATTTGTGTGAAGAGTCAATGCTCTGTGGGTAGCAGGTTGCCCTGAAGCATTAGGAGAGGAGTGGGGCCCTCAGTTAAGCAAGTGGGGGGCTTCCTTCTTTGACCTGGTGGGTAGTGGAGTTGGGGACCCTGCTGGTTGGGGAAGGCCACCTACTATTGTCTAGGGTGTTGGGAGCTCAGCTGCAGGCCTCGGGGCCAGGTGCGTCTGGTGTGTGCTTGCTGTGCCTCTGAGAGTGCTGTGTGCCCCACGTGTACCCGGGCTGGTGGGGAGAGATGAGGTGGCCTGGGGTGGACTCTATGTCTGATGGCTCAGGATACCTGAGGGCCAGGGTTGCCGGAAGGTTCTGGAGCCTGGCTTTCCTCACCTGTGAAATAGATGAGGTGGTGCATTTTTACTGGAGTCTCATGAAGCCAGTGAGGGCTGTGGGGCCTGAGCTCAGGCTCTGCTGATGCCCCCAGCCTGGCTCCTAGGCACCCCCCAGTCCCTCCCCTCCCCTACTGGGCATCCAGCATATGGCCAAGGGGGGCAATTGTAGGCTGGCTAGGGGTGGTTCTGCAGCTGGTCAAGGTTGTGACAACAGTGGTGTCTGGCAGGGACACAACCAGCTTGGCTATGTGAGCCTCCAGCCCAAGGTGGCCCAGTCTGGAGTCTGTGCTTGGGGTCACTTGAGCTGCCCTTTGGCGGGTATGAGGTGCAAGGCCCCTCTGCTTCCTCCTGAGCTTGGGCCTGGAACTTTTGTGTCTCTGGCCTCTTCCCTGGCCCACCTCCAGGGCCTCCTCTTTGCATACTGGGGGCCCATGACCTGTTCTTCCCACACCTCCTAGTAAGACCAGAGGTCCTGTCTGGGAGACACAAGACAGGCTTTGCTGTGCTCCATGCCCAGCTACCTGCCTTATGTGCTGGGCTCTTTGCACAGGGACCATCAGTGCCTGGGCAGGGCGGGCTGCCCTCCAGCAGGGAGGGTTTGGAAGTGCACCTTGGAGGCTGGGCAAACGAGGATGCAGCATGCTAGGGTTTGCAGCAAGGGTTGGAGGGGGCCCTCTCAGGCATCACTGTGGGGTCTTGATAGGAGCGTGGGGCATGCCTATAAGGCAGTCTGCTGGGAGCTGGCCAGGGTCTGAGCTGGAGGTTGTGGTGAGGAGACAGAGATCTTTGTAATTCTAGGCCCCAGCCAGGGTGCCCAGCCCCTCGCTCTTGGAGAACTGAGGTCCCTATGCCCAGATCACAGACATGAGCAAGTTCTTTGTCCCCAGTAAGTAGGTCCAGTAGGGTCCCTGTCTGTAGACTGTAAGCCTGAATGAGGTCCCTATCCTTCAGACCATAGTCTGAGTGGGGCCTCTGTTTGCCAGACTGTAGGCCCAAGTGCGGTTCCTTCCCCTAGAACGTAGGCTAAAGTAGAGTTCTTGTCCTCCAGACCATAGGCTGAGTGGTATTCTGGTCCCCCAGACCATAGGCCCGAGTGAGATCTCTGTCCCCACAACGTAGGCCCAAGTGGGGTCCCTGTCCCCAAATCCGGGCCCTGAGCTGGTGTGACTAGAATCACCCTTCCCCAGTCAGTGAGAGGAGATACTTAAAGACTCATGGCCACTACCCTATTCACTGTGGTGGTGGTGGGGGCTTGGTCTAGAGAGGTTGGGTGGGGTACAGCCAGGCAGGGCTCTGCTGTGGTCTGACCCTCCTGCTATGGCCCTGGGGCCTGGAGTCCTGTGGGGGGATTGGCCCTCCCTTCTTCCCCTCTCCCTCGGGTGACAATGGGCAGAGGCTTGGGCCTCTTCAGGGCTCAGGTTTCAGGAAATGGATCTCTGCTTAGAGCTGCTGGCGCCGGTACCCAGGGCTGGGCTCTGTGGGGGGCCAGTTGGCCCTGTGGGATGCTGAAGGAGAGGAACCAGGTTGGCACCTTGCAAGGCAGCAGGCTCAGGAGGCTGGGCTGGCCTGTGTGTGGGGTGCCCCGGATGTGGGGTCCTGCCCTGTGGATGGAGTGCCCTATATGTGGAGTACCTTGTTTGTGTAGTGCCCTGCATGTGTAGTGCTTTGTAAATGGGGTGCTCTGTGCATGGGTTGCCTTGGACATTGGGTGTCCTATGGATGGGGTGCCCTGGAAGTGAGGTGCTTTGTGGGTGGGGTACCCTGGAAATGGGGTGCCCTATACTATGGGGTAGCCTTGGTGTGGGGTGACCTGGATATGGGGTAGCCTGAACCAGGAGGTGCTTAGGGTGTGGGGTGCCCTGGGCATGGGATATATCACTTCTGGTGGGTCCCTTGGCTCCCTTTTCCATGTCTTTGAGTTATTATCTCAGCCCCATCTGGGAAGATGCTCTCAGCAGGGCCCTGGGTTGGGCCAGGCCTTCAGGGAGAGGTACAGCTGGGCCTCCAAGGGGAGCCTTTCCTCTGGGTGGGCTTCCAGGGACCCAACAGGTAGACAGCCAGTGAGGGGGGGGTGACTGAGAGGAGAGAACCGTTCCTCACCCACTTGCTGGGGGGCCTGGGCGAGTGGTTGGTCTCTGAACTGCTTCAGCCCCCAGGCTCCCAGGCCATCCCTAGAATGGCATAGCACCCTCCCATCCAGCCCAGGCCCCATCATTCCTGCTATTCTGTAGGTTTTGGGGTTGACAACGCTCTGTCCCTGACCATGGCCCACCATGCAGGAAGGACAGAGATGAGAGGTTGCTATTTACAGAGGAGGGACCAGAATCCTGGGGACCAGACTGGGGAAGATGACCTGGGAAAGCCGGCAGGTGGGGTGAGGCGTGCAGGTGCCGCCCCACAGGCTGGCTCAGGTTCTCTCTGATGACTTCCTGCCATCCAGGTGTAGGGACCCCAGCTGGCGGGCGGTGGGGCCCTTGCAGGCGGGCGGGCGCATGTCCCTGTGGGAGCAGGTAACTGGAGCCCTGGGCTTGGGCGAAGGAGGCAGTAATCTTACCTCAGTGGCTGGCGTGGGATTTCCTGGGAGCTGGAAGGAGCTCCCTACTCACCCCAAAGCCCAAGTATGTCCACAGAGGGGGAGACCCAGAGGCCAGGCCTGTGCTTTCCTCTGACTGCCCTGTCTGGTGGCTTGCCCTGCAATGGGGGTCTCAGGCCACCCTGGCTCCATCCTCGTACCCTGGGCCCATTGCCAGCTCTGTGTTCCTGCTGCTTTACATCCAGTGGCCTCAGTCACTGGTGGAGCCTGAGTAGGTATCAGGCCTCTGCAGACTCCAGCGTCCACTGAGCAGCAGGGATGAGGTGTGCCTGACTGTGTCCCATGTGTTCACCCCCGGGTCTCGTTCCTCCTGCTTGGAATGTTCTCTCTGCAGTCTGTTGCCCTCTTTGAGGCTTGCCCTGACACCTCTACCTGGCTACTTTGTCCTGACTCCCACCAGGGCATAGGGTGTCACCCCCAATGGCAAAGACATGCTGCACATTCCATGTATGAATGAGTGAATGAAGAAAGGAAACAAATGTGCAAAGGCAGGGAGCAACCTGGGTGCTCCCGCTGCCAGCAGGAGGTGGGGTAGGACATGGTCAGGGGCGGGTGGCCTTCCAGGTGTGTGGTTGGGCATGCTGGGGTGGATGACTGGGAGAAAGGCAGAAATGGCTGGATGGCCGTGACTGGTGTGGGGGAACTGAGTTTATGAAAGACTTAGAGGTGGGATGGATAGCCTACTGGTAGCCCTGTGTGGCCAGGGAGTATTCTAGAAGGGGATGGGAATGACTGCTGCTTCCAGCTTAAGTTCTCAGGCACAGGTGAGGCCCAGTGATCATCCCCCAGGATATCTGAGAGGTGAGTGCCCAGTGAGGGTCTCCAGTGTAGACCTGGTCATGACCAAAGCCGAGGGTGGGCAAGTGTCATAGCCTCGGGTGTCCACACTCCAGGACAGCTAGAGGGCATGGGCTGGGGGCCAGGAGAGGGTTCTCAAGGCTGTGAGTGTGGTTGGGCAGGGCAAGGGCCAGGAGGTGGGGCCATATCCTTCAGAGAAGTACTGGGAGGGCGAGGTGTGGACTGGGGGGCAGACCTGAGGCCTCAGTGGAATGTTGTGTGCTTGTCCCTGGCACAGCCAGGCCTTAGGGCTGGATGACGGTCTGCCCGGATGCTCTCCAGTGCTGTGTCCTCTTGGGTGGACAGCTAGGAGGCCTGTGCCCCAGAGGGGACTCAGCTCCAGCCCTGCCCAGGTGGAGCCAAGGCCAGTGCAGGGGTGGTCAGTGTGCTCACAGCTGCTGCGGAGGCGCCTAGCAATGAGCTGCTGGTGGCTGTGGTTGCAGAGGTGCCTGAAGCCAGGCAGTGAGGGGAGAGATCTAGGGGATCTTTCCCATCTGAGTGTGCTCTGAGTGATGAGCTCTCCATGGGCTGCTCCAGGTGGGCTGAGGTTGGCCTCACAGGGGGCTGGCCCTACAGTTGCTGACAGTGTCACCTTGTCACAGTGGCTGGGGTATAAGGGCAGATGGTCTGGGAGAAGAGGGGAAAAGTGACCACAGGCTGAGGGTGTGCTGGGCAGTTCCCAGGGCTTCTGGGGCCTTGGTTTCTCCATGTGTGCAGCAGGGCCCCTCCTACCTCTTCTGCTCTGGGGTGGAGGTGAGTGTCTGGCATCCTCCTGTTTACCCTTTGCATGGGGCAGCACCTGCTGTGGCCTCAGTAGGCCCTCTGCCCCTTTACCCTGTGCATCTGGCAGAGGGACAGCTCGGGGGGGAGGTGACAGGGCATTGTCCCTCTTGGGTGGGCTTGTGGTAAGATCCCACATCCCTTACTGTGGGTCACAGCCCAGTGAGGCACCAAGGGTGCTGAAAACACTGGTCCTGGGCTGCCCACTGGACCTTGACCATGGCTGCTCTAGCCTTAGCCACCCTGTCCCCTCTTCTGCCTAAGGCGTCTCCTTCACCCTGTGTTGATGTGAGCAAAACGCCTAAGCCCCTGACCCTGTGTGGCTGTGAAGGGTGGTCCCTCTCCCTCAAGTGGGCACATCTTGGGGCCTACAGAGGAGCTGCCACTAGGGGATCTTGCTAGGGAGAAGCCAGGGCCAGGCAGACTGGGCAGGAGGGAGGGTAGAGTGGGGGCATGAGGCCTCCCCCAGTGCACTGGCAGGCAAGTGGGGCCTCAGCACCTGACCAGTCCCCACCATGTCTGCAGCGCTCCTTCACCCTTATTGTGGAGGCCTGGGACTGGGACAACGACACCACCCCAAATGGTGAGTAAGCCCCAGGCCAAGTGGTTCCTCAGTCATCGTGTCCCTCTGCCTATGGGGACAAAGTCTTCCTATACCCCAGGGATCTTATGTGCTATTTCTCTTTTTGCTCTGGCTGCCAGGGAGCTCTGCCCTGCTAGTGACCTACAGAGCTGTGTGCTATATCCACCCCTCAGTCCCAGCTTCATGCATGTGGTTGTTCTGTGGGGCATGTTCTGTGTCAGAGCCACCTTTGAGTGGCTCTCTCTGGCTTCATGGCCTCCTCTCTGTCTGTCCTGGAACATGGGGTCTCATGGCTGGCCTGTGTGGAGGTCTGTAGGGCCTGCTGTGTGAGGCAGAGAGGGTCTCCAGGGAGGAGTAGTAGCTCGTGCAAAGGCCCCGAGACAGGAGCTCACTGGCTGCGTTTAGGGGCAGGGCCACAGTGAGAATGCTGGCTCTCTCCTGAAGGGGGTGCTCAGGCCACTGTGTGGCAGGTGGGCTGTAGGCCTAGGAAGAAGCCAGTGGGGAGGAGCCACTTGAATCCTGGGGACAGCCAAAGCAACTCAGATCAGGGGCCATGTGTGTGGCAGGGGGAGTACCGGGTGTTCTCAAAAGTGAAGGTGCAGAGTTGGCTGATTGGCCAGACATGGTGAGACTGGGGTCAAGGGTCTCCCCGTGGCCAGTGGGATGGCCATTTATAGGGTAGAATCAATGGTGAGAGGGGCCAGGCTAGGAGTAGCTGCGGGAACCCAGGGTGGCTTAGAGCAATGGTGTCCCTGGGAAGAGGATGACAGCAGGATAGGAAGACTGAGCCCTTCACAGGCCATCGGGGACTTTAACAGCATGAGCGTGAGAGCACCCAGGGTATAGGGTAGTGCTAGGACAGGGCCAGCAAAGGGAACACCTCATGTCTTTTGCTGATGAGGTGGGAGAAGTGAGGTTGAAGGTTCCTTAACCTTTTATTGTGGAAGATTTCAAGTTTGTATAGGAGCACATACAGATTAGTCTCACAGACTCTGTACACAGTGTCACCAGCTGGGGATACCTTCCCCCAGTGGCTTACACCTGTAGTCCCTGCACTTTGATGCAGGGATGAGGATGAGGTGAGAGAATGGCTTTGAGGCCAGGAGTTCCAGACTGTCCTGAACAACTTAGACCCATCTCTGCTAAAAATAAAGCAGCCGGGCATGGTGGTGTCTAGTTCCAGCAGCTCAGGAGGCTGAGGTGGGAGGATGGCCCTAGCCCAGGAGTTCCAGGTTGTAGTAAGCTGTGATGATGCCACACAATAAGACCCTGTCCCTGGGGAAAAAAGTGAGAAGTGGGCTTTAGATGTTGGGTTGCTGAGTCCACACCTGCCTCCGGCCAAGGGGAGGCTTTTAATAGGCAGAAATCATGTGTTTGGTGCCTCTGTAAGCAAGTTACAGTGTAGGAGAGGGGAGGATAGGTGAGGGCTGGGCTCCATGCCAGGTGGCTGCAGGCGTGGGGATGCCAGGTTCGTGTCTCTTAGCTGGGCCTTCCCTGACCCTCTGCCTCTGGTGGGGAGCAGGTGTGGGGGGCCTGGTGGTCCAGGGCAGGCCTCTCTGGGCCTGGTGGCGTCCCTGCTGCCCACTCGTCCACCTGCCCTGGCTGGGCTGGTCTCTCCAGCCTGTGCTGACTCTGCTACCTCCCCAAGAGGAGCTGCTGATTGAGCGGGTGTCACACGCGGGCATGATCAACCCTGAGGACCGCTGGAAAAGCCTGCACTTCAGCGGCCATGTGGCACACCTGGAGCTGCAGATCCGCGTGCGCTGTGATGAGAACTACTACAGCGCCACCTGCAACAAGTTCTGCCGGCCCCGGAACGACTTTTTTGGTCACTACACCTGTGACCAGTATGGCAACAAGGCTTGCATGGACGGCTGGATGGGCGTGGAGTGCAAGGAAGGTGCGGGGGCTACACAAGGGCAGGGCCATCACCCTCACGGGTGCCGGGCCAGGACTGGCTGCAGTTGTGCCCCTCTGTCCTCTCTGTCCACAGCCGTGTGCAAACAAGGATGTAACCTGCTCCATGGGGGATGCAGTGTGCCCGGGGAGTGCAAGTGAGTGTCGCCAGCTGCCCCTTCCTTGCCTTCATCTCCCTCACTTAGGGGAAGCCACTGAGCCACTACTCAGGTGGAGTCTCTCCTGCTCCTCTGAGCCCTGCAAGGGCATGCCCTGCTGGTGGCATGTATCTGATGGCAGGAACCCCACAAGGACAGCATGGAAGGGATGAGAGGGCAGCTGGACCTGGCAGTACCACCCATGGGGGTGGGGGTCTGAGCTGGTGGGAGGTCTATGAGGCCAAGGGGAGGACACATTGGTGGGTTTAGAGCCTCAGACCTGGGCATAATGGGGAGGAGGAAGGGTAGTGGCCACTGTGCATGGAGGCAGGAGGTTGCAGGCTACAGAAAGGCAGCAGCTGGGATTCTGAGTGGGGAGGGGAGGAAGACATGAGCTGCTGTGGTAGTTGGCCTTTCATAGGTCCTGGGGTGAAGCCTAGAGATTTGTGAAAGAGTTTGACATAGGGTGGAGAGGAAAAGTGAGGTTAGCAGGGCCCTTAAGCCATAGAATGTGAGCTGTCATGACTGGGGTTGGGATGGCCCAGGAGAAGTAGGCCAGACAAAGGGACAAAGAGGAGGCTACTACGATAGGTGATGGTGGAGGGTGATGTTTGAGGAGGACTCCTGGCCTGGCCTGTGCCATTCCGGTAGTGTCTAAAGCCAATCTGGGGGAAGAGGGGAGGAGGCGGAGGAACGAGCCCCAGCCCCAGTGGATCGAGGGGTCCAGAGGGTGGGAGAGTGGCTGGGTGCTGGTGGCCCAGTGCAGACTGCAGAGGCCACTGGACCTTGACCAGGGTGCTGGGGGGTGTGGAGGTTAGACAAGGAGGGGTGGGCACCTTGGCTGTGTGGGGGAGCAGAAAGCTGATGGGGTAGCTGGAGGGGAGGGGGGGCAGGGTTGGAGCAGGCAGGGTGGGTGGCTGTGGCCCTGGGAGCCATGGGAGGGCTACAGTGATGCCCTTGTGCCAGCCCTGGACCACACTGACTCCAGGAGCTGGTTTGCTTCCATATGCGATTTTCAGAGGGTACCGAGGCACAGGGAGGTTAGGTAATTTCCCCAAGATCACAGTGCTGAGTTATGGAGAGGCTGACTCTGGAGCCAGGCTGGGGGTGAGGGTTGACCCTACACTGGCCTGGTGGTCGGGTTGGCCTGGAAGGTGGTGTGAGAGACAGCCCTGGCCAATTTGGGGGCAAGGAGGAGGCAGGGCAAGGTAGGGGCTCACTTGTACACATGGGCATTTTAGACAAGTTGAGCTACCTGATCCAGGGTAG